GGATGGAGGGATGGATGGAGGGATGGATGGAGAGATGGATGGAGGGATGGAGGGATGGATGGAGGGATGGATGGAGGGATGGAGAGATGGATGGAGGGATGGATGGAGAGATGGATGGAGGGAGAGATGGAGGGATGGATGGAGAGATGGATGGATGGATGGAGGGAGAGATGGAGGGATGGATGGAGAGATTGATGGATGGAGGGATGGATGGAGGGATGGATGGAGAGATGGATGGAGGGATGGATGGAGGGATGGATGGAGAGATGGATGGAGGGATGGATGGAGAGATGGATGGAGGGATGGATGGAGGGATGGATGGAGAGATGGATGGAGGGATGGAGGGATGGATGGAGGGATGGAGAGAGGGATGGAGAGATGGATGGAGGGATGGATGGAGGGATGGATGGAGGGATGGATGGAACAGTAATTGTGTCTTAATTTCTGCTTCAGTCTAATTGTATAAATTGCTGTTAATAATAAAAAGCCTCAGATTTAATGTCTTATTTCCGTTTAATCTCCTAATCTGGCCCAAAGCTTCAGGTGCAAAGCAGCAGAAATGGTTCTGTTGTAGTTCTGTTCTGGTTCTGCTCTGGTTCTTCTCTGGTTCTGGTCTAATTATCATAATTCATGTTAATCCCAGTAATCCCAGCACCATGCCCTCGATGTTTCCAGGCTCTGACCTCTTGACCTCTGGGTTTCCCAGTGTGAATGCAGTGCAGGTCTGGCAGCGGCTCTGCGCCGGCGGCGCATCGTTAGCGCAGCCGCTAATCAGGTTAAGCTATTACAGCCCGGCTGGGGGGAACTGGGTCAGGAGGAGCTAAAGGCGGCAGCACGAGGCGCCGCATCAGGAACTCCTCATTAATAAGCTGGAGCTTCCTGTCCCCACATGGAGAGATTCTCCGGCTGCGGTTCCTGACCTCAGCGACGTTTGGATCGGAGGATCCACTCAGGACGGACCGATGAAAGAGGAATTCTGCCTCTCTCTGGCTGCTGGAGCGTGAAGCCCTGCGGAGTCTGGCCATCCGCTGCGTCCATCGCTGCGTCCCCGCGGCTCGCTGGCGGCTCCAGACTCGGTTTGGAAAGTGGAGTGATTAGAACGGAGCGAGCAGCTGACCGAGCAGCTGACCGAGCAGCTGACCGAGCAGCTGAGCGACCATCTGCGTGTTGGAGAGCCACCAAAGTCTCCCTGGCGGTTCAGACCTAATCAGGATTTGCTGTGCTTTTCACCTGCTCGCTCGCTCGCCGCTCTCTTCATCCCTTGGGGTCACGACCCGGGGCGAATGAGGCAGTCGGCGCCGGAGTGCGGCTGCGGCGGGTCGGTAACCCGGCGGACGGGTCGGAAGGTTCAGGATGGCGCCGCTGTGGAAGACGATGCTGTCGAGGAGCAGCCCGCTGTACAGAGACGCTCTGTTCTCCTTCAGCCTGTGGGAGTGGAAGGCGCAGGAGAGGGAGCTGCAGCAGCTGAAGAAGCAGACGGACCAGGAGAGGAGAGCCACGCTCACACAGCTGCACAAGTAAGACCGGCCTGGACCCAGCAGAACCATGCAGAACTCTGCAGAACTCTGCAGAACTCTGCAGAGCCCTGCAGAACCCTGCAGAACCCAGCAGAACCCTGCAGAACCATGCAGAACCATGCAGAACCCTGCAGAACCCTGCAGAACCCTGCAGAGCCCAGCAGAACCCAGCAGAACCCTGAAACCGAGGCATGCGGTGGTGCGGAAGGGGCAACATGTCAGGATTTCTAATCACTTGCAGCCAAAATCCAGAATCCTTCCATCCTTCAGTCTAGATCCGATCTTCATTCGGTGGAAACTTGCAGGCCAGGCAACATGAGGCTCAGAACAAAATGATTAGATTTTTGCCACTGCGACAGAGAGAAGGGATTTCGGCGGTTCGGGTCGACCATGCGGTACCCTTCGGTTTTTGCAGCAGGTTCCTTCATCAAACTGGTCCAATTAGATCCAGAGTGCAGAGCAGAGCCGCTCATGCTAACCAGGAGTAGATTTTCCTCTAGAGTTATCAGACAGCGTTATTGTTTAGATCTTCACTGCTGTCTGTGCACCAGTGAAGCATCGATTCCTGTGACTTTCACCGCGTCTCGTTAATTAAATCAGCTGCAGGCCACACATTTCAGCTGCAGCCGTGCGGTCGGGTCCATCCCGCTTTTATTTTTATCCGGTCTGCTCCTGTGAACATGTGAGACCTGCGGTCGCTAAGAGGCTTCCCTGGAGCGGCGCCACGCCTCGGCAGGCGACTGACTTCCTGCTAACGCTCATCCAGCAGCCGCTCCGACGTCCAGCTCATTAAACTCACATTTACTTAGTTTTACTGTCAACCTTCATCTATAAATACTTAGTAATGTCTAAATATTCAAAATATTTAGAGATTATAATCACTATTATGATTATTAGAGATTAATATTTATTTAAAATGTTTAGACCATCTTTTAGTTTGGCTCTAAGTTACAGGAATGTAACTTGTGATCACTGGATGGAAGAACCGAGTCCAGGGAAAGAAACGTGGCGTCTTCAGGAAAGTGTCCAGTTAGCTGCTATAGAGTAACATGTAAGTTCATGGAAAGTAGCAGACAGACCCCATAGCTGCAGTGCTGAGCTCAGCTAGCTGAAGAGTTAGCAACGCTAACGTGCTACACCAGCAGTGGAAGCTAATGCTAAAGCACTATGCTAACACAGTATTTAGCAGATGCTAATGCTAAGGCACTATACTAACACAGTATTTAGCAGATGCTAATACTAAAGCACTATACTAACAGTATTTAGCAGATGCTAATGCTAAAGCACTAGCTGCAATTTAAATTATATCTTCCTTGAAAGACTACAACCCTTGTGGACCAATTTAACATTTTGCATCTGTGTTTATTTTGTTCCTGTATGTATCTTGTTTTAAATAAAGTTATTGGGGAGAAAAGAGAGTGAGAACAGGAAGAGAGGAAACAGACTGCCGCATACACACGTCAAAATAAGAGCATGAAGACGAGCTGCTAACTGCTTGAAGAATTGTTAACAGTTGATAACCAAACAAATGTTGAAGTTTATTCAACTTAGTTTAGAAAACCAGGAAAGTAACGTTTTGGGGAATCTGAATGTTTTCAAACTTAGCAAAGTGCTAAAGCGCTAACCTAGACATTAGCTCAGCTCTTAGCTTGGCTCTGAGCTCATTAGCGGATTAGCAGAGGTGTGCTCACCAGTGATGTGTTGGTAGCATTTTATTTCTCCTTCAGCCAGCCCTTCCAGTGGTTCATTGTCGTGACCTTTAACCTGCTGGCTGAAACCCGTAGCGTCTGACCTCAGTGTGGATCCGGTTCTGATGCCCGAGGTTTATTTATGTTTCTGTGTTTCTGTGTCAGGCTCAGTAAGGAGCTGCAGGAGAAGGATAAAGTTATCGAGTCTCTCCGAGCCAAACTGGACCAGCATCATCATCATCATCATCATCATCATCGCTCCGACTCGCCCAGCAGCAGCCACGCCCTCTCTGACATCACCGACCAATCAGACCGCATCTCTTACGTGTCGGACGAGCACGGCTCCACCAACGGCGACCCGGAGTTGTGCTGCGACGCAGACGGTGCCGGCGGACTCGGACCCGAGGAAAACAGGAATGCTACTGGAACCGGTGAGTCTACAAACATTTAAAATCTGACCAGCAGGGGGCAGCAGAACACAAATATAAACTGCAAACCTGTAAAATCTGACCAGCAGGGGGCAGCAGAATACAAATATCTGTTCTCCAGCTAAAACAATGCTGAAAGTTAGCATCTTTTTAGCTTCAGATTAAACGTTCTGTTGGCAGTTTGTGCTCTAAAACGTTTCTCTTGCATTTAATCATTGGAAATAAGTGAAACATTTTGTTCTCTTCTGTTTTTAGAGAACCTCCTGTGGTTTTGCTCCCAGGCTGCGTTTTATTGAAATGAATGAGACCAAATACAGGTGATTTCACTGCCTGCATGTCCTCGTCTGTTTCAGCGTCTCCGCTCGGCGCCGCGTCCCGCCGGCCGTCCGTCGGCTCCTCCCAGCGCTCCCAGTCCTGCCTCAGCTGTCCCAGCATGCATTGCTCCGGCTCTCCGCTCAGACCCGCAGACCTCCAGAGCCAATCAGGTGAGAAGCAGCTGAAGCCCCGCCTTCTTCCTGCTCCTCATCATCGCTCTTCCTCACCCTGTCTCTCCTCCCAGCCCCCTGTCGCCCCCCCTTCCTCTCCTCCATCAAAAATGGCGGCCGCTCCCAGAGGAGCGCGGCGCCGGCTTTCTCTCTGGCTGCGGCTCAGCAGGAGCTCCAGATGCTACAGAATCAACTGAGAGCCGACGGCAGTGAGTCGCTGCGACTCCGTCTGCACGAAGTTTACAACCGAGTGAAAAACTAAAAACCAGACGACTAAAAACTAAAAACCAGATGACTCCTGACTGAAATAATCTGTTCGCTCACTTCTTTGGGTAAACATGCAGAGTTCATGTCCCAGCAGGATATGGATTATATTTACTGTAAAGTCAGAGAGAGAATAACTGAAAGAATAATAATAATAATAATAATAAACATTTTAAATCTGTGTTATGAATGCAGGTAAAAGGTTTGCTGATTCACCATAAGAGGAAAACAAACTGATTTAAAACGATTTTATTCATTCATTCGTAAATTTGACAGTTTCAAACTAAATTTTAATAAGCTAGATGTTTGGCTTAGTAATATTTTGTTTACTAACTAAATATTTACAAACTATAACCTAAATATTTAACTGAAATGTAAATATATAGCTCCAACTTAAATGTTTAGTTAGCAAGCTAAATAATTAGCTTTGAGGTAAATGTTTAGCTCTAAGCAAATAGCTTAGCTCTAAGCTAATAGCTTAGCTCTAAGCAAATAGCTTAGCTCTAAGCTAATAGCTTAGCTCTAAGCTAAAAGCTAATAGCTTAGCTCTAAGCTAAAAGCTAATAGCTTAGCTCTCAGCTAGTAGCTTAGCTCTAAGCTAGCCATTCTATAAAGTCCTTGCATGAAGGCAGGACTTTAGAAAGAGGTTCGAGAGAGAAAGCTTTTATTTTGGTAGTCCGCTTCTGGTTGTTGGCAAGAATTTGCATGTTCCCTAAATATTAACCTGTGAGCTTCAGACCAAATATTTGACAATAAATATTGAGTATGGAAAAGAATAAATAACTTGGTGAAAATCTGATGAACCTCATTTTTTCTCTGATGACCAAATAATCCAAATTATTGCTGTTAATTTTTGACTGTGTAACTTTACAAACGACGGCTGCAGATATTGGATGCCTGAGTGTGCTGATGCACCTGCAGCACGCCAGGTGTGGTTGGTAAACGGTGTGTGTAGATGTTTCTGCTAAAGGCTTAGCTGTGTGTGTGTTTCTGGTGTGCTAGCATGCTAACGCGTTAGCGCTCTCCTCCCTGCAGGGTTTTCCACTCCCAGGTCTCTCCACGGTCTCCCCCCGTTCGTCCCTCAGCATCATGCTGACGCCGCCGGCTGCCTGCCGCTCTCCTACCGAGGCTTCCCCCCTCCTTCATTCAGCGGCCTGGACGTCGCCATGGCGACGCGAGCCGGGGCCGGCCTGCTGGAAAGAGGTGCATTGTGGGAAACGCCGCGCGGCGTGGGAGCCGACCTGTCGTCGGGGTCGTCGGGTTACCAGTCAGGAACCGGACACACAGGTACGGCCGCCGCGCTGCAGGCAGAACCGGGCCGGGCGCTCACTTCCTGTTTGCTTCCTGTTCACTTCCTGCTGGTGTTTCTGCCGCAGGTTCAGACCTGATGAAGGAACACCTGGCAGAGATCCGGAGTCTGAGGCGGAGACTGGAGGAGTCCATCCAGACCAACGACCGGCTGCGGCTGCAGCTGGAGGACCGGCTGGCCCACAGCGCCGGGGACAAAGGTGCTCAGTCCAAACCCCTTCTGGTTCTGGTTCTGGTTCTCTTGTTTGTCTCATCGGTTGTTTTTGTTTAGTTTCTAGACTAAATCTCTTAGTTCACTAGAAGAAAAGCAAAACTAAGTTAAATGACTTTTCAGAACGATATAATTTAAGTGAATTCCCGCTGATTTTCCAGGAGCTCCGACCAACATCTACATCCAGGGCCTGGACTCGGCCGGCCAGCTGTCCGAGCTGCGCCTCCTGCAGGAGGAGAACGCTGCTCTGCAGGCGCAGCTGCAGCGCGCCAGCCGAGGTGAGCCGCATCTCCGGCACCATCAGGAAAACTCTGGACAACAGAATAAATTCAGCGTTTTCCTGCAGAGGGCAGCAGAGAGGCGGAGCTTCGCAGGGAGGCGGAGCATCTGAGGGAGGCGGTCCTCCAGGAGCGCTCCAGGCTGAAGGAGGCGGAGCTGGAGACACAGAGGTGGGCGGAGCTAAGCCAGAGGCTGCAGGCGGAGGATGCAGTTCGCTGCCAGGAGGTGGCGCAGTTGAGACAGGACAGACAGAGAAACCAGGAAACCATCAACAGGTCGCTATAACTTTTAATTTTACTGAAAGTCTTTGTGCTACAACAATAAGGTTTCTGTGATGTTTTTCCATGTGTCTTACTATCTCGTTAGTGAGATATTTTACGTTTTGCATCGTTTTCTTTAGCTAAAACTAAAACGGGTCAAACATGGGATTTCCATGTCTTTCCATTCTAAGACAAACAGAAACTTTCCTTCAGAAGGAAAGAAAAAGCCAAACTATTTGGAATAATAAAATCTGACAGTTTTTATATTTTTTTCCCATGTTGGTGTCTGAGTGGCCAATAAAGGGCCGTTTTCAGGCTCATCTCCCACCTTAACCAGCAGTTAATCGATAGATTTTCTGCACCAAGCAGTTAAAAATGTAGAAACATGTTTTTACTCAGCATCTTTAGAGGAATCTGAATTTATCACTATGACTGTTAATAAGATAAACCAGGACGTTTTTTCTCATTTATTGTGAGATAATGCAAAAGAACAGATGTCCACTTGTCCTGTAGGGGGCGCTGCAGTTCTCTGTTGGAGGAGAACCATCAGCGTGACGTAAGTTTGTCTCCAGGCTGCAGCATGAGGCGAGCGTCCTGCGCCTGCAGCTGGACCAGAGCCGCAGTTTGAGCCAGACGCTGCAGGAGGCAAAGCACCGAGGCTGGGAAAACCCCCGACACACACACCCAGGTAGGAACCAGGAACACACACACCCAGGTAGGAACCAGGAACACACACACCCAGGTAGGAATCAGGAACACACACACCCAGGAACACACACACTCAGGTAGGAATCAGGAACACACACACCCAGGTAGGAACCAGGAACACACACACCCAGGTAGGAACCAGGAACACACACACACCCAGGTAGGAACCAGAACCAGAACCAGGACTCACTCCTCTCATCATGCAGAAGAAACTCAGATCTGGACTGAAACCAGATAAATTTCTCAGAGTCTCTTTTCTACGTGAAGAAGAAACGTCTCAGGTTTAGTTCAGGATGCAAATGGTTAAAATGTTTAGCTCAGAGTTTCTGAAACTTTTCAGGTTGAGGATCATTTAACAGACAAGCTGACCTGAAATGAGCCACAATAACACGAAGCTCCATAAACACAACAAAATGAAAACATCGGTGCTGAAGGTGGGACTGGAAACAAAAAGCAAGAAAAACGAGGCGTCAGGCGGTCAGGGGCAGCACTTTAAGTCAGAAAATGGAACGAGATGAGACTGTCATTAATTAATCACATCTTAGTCAGAAACTATACATCAACAAAATAAGCAACATTTTCAATTCAAAAACTATTTTTACTGCTAAATTACTGAAGAGACAGAAGAGCAACAAAGATATTCATAGTTTTTAATCTGATATTCAGGTTGTCTGTGTTTTCTTTTAACAAATTCTTCTTTAAAAATGTAACTGTACGCTGACATTAGCGTTAGCTGCTACATGTTAGCATTGAGATGCTATGTTAGGCTAGCATAGCTTCACTGACAGGCTAACTCCCATTAGCACAACTTGAACACATCAGTCGTCTTTTCCAGGGTCCAATCAGATGGTTTAAAGCAGACATTAAACCCAGAGAAGCGTCTTCGTCCTCCATCGCTGTTAGCGCAGGTAGCTTTCCCGTCAGATTCAGGAGCGTACCAGAAACATGTGAATACAAAGGTTCCAGGACTTTTTTATTTTAAAAAATGCATCCACTGGAATTATTTAAAAAGTAGTAAAACTTAAGCTAAATGTTAAAATCTGTGTAATTAATTAATCAGAATTAACACCTTAGCATCCCGTCCAATCCTCGATTTTAGTTTTAGTAGTTCTTTATGAGCTAAATTTGTCTCTTTCACTGATAGTCCAGACCAGAGTAACAAGAAACGGAAAGAATGAAGTTCTAATCAGAAATAACTTCAGGAAATGTGTAACTGGAGAAAGAAGATGAGTGGATTTCATTTTTCTAGATATTTTGAGTCATCTTTGATTTATAACTAGAATGTGTGAATAATCACTGATCTGGAACCAAACGCTGCGTTGGAGCTTCACTAGCATTTTATGCTAATAGCATTAAGCTAACATAAACAGACAGGATGAATCGGACATGATCTGATTTACTGCTTACATCGGCTCCCTGTTCAGACCGATTCCCTACACTTTGTGTTGCTGAGCAGATGAGGTGGCTAATGGCGCTCTGCCAGTGACCTTTGACCCCAGAGAGCTTCACATCCAGCAGAAGCAGCAGCTGAGCAGCCAGCCTGCAGCCAGGAGGCGACTCTTCAGCGGTCAGTTCGTCTCCACGCCGGAGTTCATCAGGAAAACGCCAAACCTGTCAGCGTTTTCCGACAGGAAATGTTTCTGTTCTGCAGGTGAAGACGTTTCTCCGCCCGTCAGAGACAGCGGCCCAATCAGAGACAGCGGCCCAATCAGAGACAGCGG